AGCGTACATAATATCGTATGGCATATGGCAATTGTAGCAAATTAATTATTCGAAGTTTAAATTATATGCGTCATTAAAAAAAACTTAATATAACCTAACTTTAGATCGAGCAGGTGCATTGACAACAAATGCAAGTAATAAAAATATTGTAAAAAATAGCATTCTGTCATTAATTTTAAAAAGATTTGATCACTACTTTTAAAACAATATTTAAACTCTCGTTCTTTTGATCTATTACTTTTAAGACTTTTCTGCGTTAATATTCAACATATTTTTAGAGGGAGAATCACTGAATTTAAGATCGATTTAGTTCTTTTGTCTGACTATAATCCCTCGCTTTTTCTGACTGATCCTTTATATTTTCATTTTCTACAGAAGTGTTCCTCCGTTAGTTGCATCCTGGTTGTGATTCTTTTAAAAAAACTGTCGACAATAGAGAATATGATATTTATGCGATTAAAACCTCTGTTACGTGTGAGCTCAAGGCTGCGATAAATTTCAAGATTAATTTCAATGTCCAAAAAATACAATCCAAAAGATACACAACGTGTCATTTAAATCTACATCCCAAAAGCCGGAAAGACTGCTATTGCAAAGATTTTCAAATAGTTACTATATCAAGCAGATCGTTATCGTCAATAATCAAGTTGGTATTTGGTCTCATTGGTATTTAAAACAATTTTTTATGATGATATCTCATCATGTATAATATATTTATTTGATAGTTATGTAAAATAATTTCATGGTAACATTAATAATAAAGATCAAACAGGAACTAGTGATTTAATTTCCATGTAAAATCCTAGTTTTAGATGGGATATGGTAAAAAATGTTAGAAAATTTCTTTTTCTTCTCAATAATGACGCACCAGAACGTTGATAACGATGTACTTGTTTGACAAGTTTGAAAAAAAAAAAAAAAGAAAAAGAAAAAACGTTTTTTTGGCTTTTATTCAAACAGCTTAAATGATAATAATTGTAAAAGTCAAAAAGGTTATGTATGACTAGCAAATACTCTTAAAGCCAGTCTTTTATCAAAAGCTACATCGAATTAAAGAAAGCTAATACTTACACCACATAACCCTTTAATGCCCAAATTTACTGAATTCTAGTAACAATTTAAACTTTATATTGTTTTCACAAAAACAGGTCACGTAAAAAATTTTTACCTAAATATTTTTATGCTCGATATTTTTGTAAATGAATTAAAAATTAACAAAAAATCTTGTATCAATGCTTTTTGAAAACATACTTCAAAAAATACAATTTTTTTTAATTACAATTTTCACTTTTTTAAACAAGTAACCCCAAAAATTGAATCACATATGCAGTTCGATCCTTAACTTTGAAAAAATTTTTTTATCAAATATGTGAGGTTACAAATCTACGTACAAATTGCCGTATTTGGACATTAAAGAAATAAAGAAGAACATTTTCATCTTAGTGAACATTAAATGGAAGTTTTGATTTCTTCTTTAACTCGATTATCAATAGCAAAAAGTTTCTAACACGCGCAAAAAAAAAAAAAAAAAAATAGTATCAATAATCCTCAAAGTCTGTTTTTTTGCGGAGCTTATTAATCAAATGAAACATTTTAAAAGCAATTACACAAATCTTTTGCAAGGACGTGCAAAGTGAGATGTTTAAAAATAAGTTAACAAAGGAAAAGAGCAGTACCAAATTGAAAGAAGCGAGCGAAGATGAAAAACTACCCAAGTAAGAATAAAAAAAAAAAGAAAAAAGGATAGCAAGGAGTGATGAAACAAATACAATTCAAATTATTGTCAATTATGTAAAAAAAGTGGAACAACTCACGTTCTCGTTGGGGTTGCCGAAGCCGCCTAGATTATAATCACCCATACCACTACCGCTGTCCTCCCTCGGTGTGCCTGGACCACCGTTTGCCGGAGAATTCTTCATACCATCGAGTCCGTCACCGTTGAGCACTGGGCCCATTGTATTTGGGCCCATCGGTCCCATGGGCCCACCCTCGGGACCACCGCTCATCGGGAAATCCTTTAGTTCGTACGAATACATTTTTTTACACTCAACAGCTTCAGAGCAACCTTTAATCGACATTTTACAGGATGATAAGGTGTTATCTTACGCCAGGCATGTTGCCTCCAGGTACTGGTTTCATCATCGTGTACATGTTTTCGCCACCGCTGTTACTACTGTCCTGTGGACTCGGCATTATCGGCGTCCCCGGTCCCGGTGGCCCACTCGAACCGGGAGGCCCGCCATAATTGCCCGGCGAAGACGAGGAATAATTCATCGGCTGCGGAAATTCAAACAAAAATTCCTGAGTCACTGCTCAAATTTGTTGATATTTTTGAGGTAGAAGAAAAAACCCTTACTGTCGACGTGTTGGGTTGCCATTGTGGTCTGCCACCTGGTCCGGCCATACTCATCGGCGGCATACCAGCACCACCCGGTCCACCGGGAGCTAAATTACTGTTTGGCGGTGGACCCCGCATGCCGGGGCCGTAAGTACCCGGGCCCATTGGTGGCATGCCACCTGGTCCTGCCCTTGGATGGTTCATCCTGGGGTTCATTGGGTTCATACCAGGCGAGCCTGTGAGAGAGAAAATTTTTTTAATTAAATTTTTTTCTAAGCCAATTAGCAACTTTTATGGCATTGTTTTTGTATTCTCCGTTATTTTTAATACTTTTTAGGGTTTACAAAAGATACAAGTTCGAAATTTTTTTTTCATTTTGTATCAAACAAAAGTAATGTCATGCAAAAAATTTCAATAAAAAATTGTTATGTGTGCGTTCAATATCTGTACATCTGTAGCGATTGTTATCGCCTACTTGAGGGAGAAAAAGGTGTTTCGTCCCGAGAGCACGCCAGGACTCATCAGTAAGGCTGATGACGTGCTCCCTGCCTTAGACACAGGAGAGGTGTGGGCTCAGATTGACTCGATCGCGCTTATATACTAATCGTGCGGGAATTTCACCGCTTGACGGGAGATAATTATTAGGGGCTTGGCCACCTGGCGAGTAGAGCCTGAAGCACGAGAGACGTGAGACGCCACATCACTCCNGAATAGGTGAAAGTTCAGATGCCTCCAAGGGTTTCTCATAGCCTCATTTCAGCTGATGATAATGTAAAAATTTCAGAATTCCGTGAAAATTTAGTTAGTACAAAAAAAAAAAAACATCTTTAATTACTACACTGAGAGAAAAATATAATAAAAATCATAGAGAAATCCCAACAAAAATTACCATTCCGCAGGCTGGCAAAAAAAGAAAAAATTATTATTTTTAAAAGTAACAATCATTGTATTAATAGCTAAGATCATAGTTTGAATAGTTAGAATTATGGTCAGAACAGTAAAAATTTCGATGCGGGAAAATAAAATAATTAACCGATTCTTCTAAGGTTTACTATTCCAACATGGTAATTTTTACTGTTCTTACCATAATTTTCACCATTTAAACTATAATTTTAACTGTTGAAACAATAATCTTTACCATAAAAATAATAATTTTTTCCTTTTTTGCCACCTTGCATCTGATTTACTGTGTGGAATGGTAATTTTTTCTGGAATTTCTCTACAATTTTTTATTATTTTTTTCTCTCAGTGTAGGGTTAAAAAATTTCAATTGACTAGTGGTACAAAAAAAAAAAAGTAAAATAAAAATCTACGCCTAAATAAACTGTGCTGAGCTACGTATACTGTATGATGATTATTGTTCAAAAGTAAAACATTTAAACTTAAATTTGAGTAACTATCTACAAATTAAAAAGTAACTTATACAAATATACAAATAAAATACTTGGGAGGACTAATTTCATTTTTCAACTTTTGGTGGCTTTTGAAATCGAACATTCTATTCCAACACCGTTTCGATGAGTACGCACAAAAACGTATGTATGTGATATGCTCCGGCGCAGTGCGACGACTGTGCTTCGACGGGGCTCGAAAGGAGACGCAAAATGTGCGTGCGATTTTTTTTTTCGTGCGGATGAACAAAAAGAAGGATGAGGATGTGACTAAGTAAATGATATTGAATAAGGGTGCTCTGACCCACAACACATGGACGTCGAAATAAATTTTGTTGTAAAATTTACAAAAAAAAGTAAATAAAAATTATGTACAAAAAAATGAGAAAAAAAAAAATTAAAATTTGCAAGTACTTTCGCTCTCTCGCTTTCGTTTGCCCCCCTCCCCCCCGGCTTCGATACACATACATATATATATATATACTCATTTAA